ATACTATTCTACAAAATTCAAATAAGTAGCCTAAAGATTTTAAGAATATAATAAAGTATAAAATAATATCTAAGTATTTAGTTTTATTATAAAATGGTCTATAGATATGAAACTTGCACATCGTTTATACCTATAAKTTATTCACAAATTACTACGATTCAGTGTTATATTTTATTCTATGATTTAGCTGGAAATTTAAAATATTCCAATAATACAATGTATGTTTATATGAAGAAATAAACAACCGAGTTATTCCATTTATGGTATCATTTAATACATTATAATATGAAATTTTAACTTTTCCAATCGATTCGCATAATGAGATGCAGTCTTGAGTTCTCAGTGTTTTTTGCTTTCTGATTTCATGGTACGAAGGTGGGTTTATAGAGTTAAGTTCGAGTTAGGGAAATAAAGACAGCTGGTGAAATCTTAAACAGGGTTTTAAAGTTTTCAAATATTAAAGGATTTGTTCACACCGTATTTGCTGAAAAAATWATTTATTYATTTTAAACAAAAAACTTTAAAAAATTTCATAGATTTTTATGATATTTTCTCGGTCTATTATAATTCGTTGAATTGTAATTATTTTTCACGTAAAAATTTAAGTAAATATCGAAATTCGGCATAATTGCAGTAATTTTTTTCATTAAAATTATAATATTTTGTCTAATGTACGATTTTAAAAATCGGTATTTATACCGCGTGGATGCTCCCGTGGTATACTAGATATTTTGCAAACAGTTTGTAAAATATACCAAATATTTTACTTTGACGAAGTTGAAATTCAACTAAAACCAGTAAGAGTTTTCAAAGTTCTTTATTTGATATGGTTAAACATAAAAWCTAAATGAATAATTTGAAAACTTGTGCGTTAATTACGTTCCCTGGAGTTGCGAATACCGTCATACCCATCTAAATGGTTGATGGTATGGCAATAAATTTATAAAACGTAGAACTGTAAATTAAGTTGAAAATAAAATTATTTTAAGCGTTTAATTTATTTGTGATTATTTTCGTAATCAGGTGACTGGTTGGTTCTTGGTASCAAAAAATAGAGGTGGTTTAAAACATCGGTTATATACAATAAACGATAAATTCGTAATATTACGAGTTTAGTTATTTTTCTGTAGGYATAAAATCAAAATCTATCAATGATAGTTTTTTTTTTTTTTTTTACTCAAATTGAATAATTGTAGAATCCGAATTTTCACAAAATACTGATATAAATATTTACGAAATATGATATAATTTTAAAAATATTGTAATTATTATTAGTAATTTAAATATATAATATTATATTGAAATACATTAGCCCTACTTTAAATTATGAGTAGAACGATGAATGTATTGATTTTTTAATGATGTATGTTTTTATTTTATTTTTTCTGTCTGTGTGTACACGATAAGTATAGTCGAAATAATATTTCAATTTTCAACTACCTTTTTTTCTGGTAGAAAATTGATACTAATTGGTACAAGGTTTAAATTCCCAGTAATTAGCTTCGGGGGGAAAAAAATAAAGATAAAAGGGAATTTTTAACTGAAAAAAAAATGAT